CCCCCAGGAATTCTTAAATCTAAAAAATTAGGTCATTCTCTTCCACAGATTTTTATTTACTTTTTGAGTAGTTCCATAACTTAACAAAAAACTTAAATATTATAATACTCTTACTTCAATTTCAGAGGAACATTAAAAGTCCTTTTTCTAGCCAGGTACAATGGCGCATGCCTATAATCCCAGCAACTCAGGAGACTGAGGCAGAAGTATCAAAAATTCAAAGCCAGCCTTAGCAACTTAGTGAGGCTCTAATCAGCTTAGAGAGACCCTATCTCAAAATAAAACATAAGCCAGGCACTGTGGCACATGCTTATAATCCTAGGGGCTCTGGAGGCTAAGGCAGGAGAATCACAAGTTCAAAGCTAGCCTCAGCAAAAGCAAGGTGCTAAACAACTGAGTGAGACCCTGCCTCTAAATAAAATATAAAAAAGGGCTGGAGATGTAATTCAGTGGTTGAGTGCCCTGAGTTCAATCCCTGGTACTCAATCAATCAATCAATCAATCAATAAAAAGGGCTAGGATATGGCTCAGTGATTAAGTGCCACTGGGTTCAAGCCCTGGTATTAAAAAAAAAAAAAAAGTGTCCTTTTTTCTGTAAATAAGCAGATAGTTCTAGAATGGTCAAAAGAAACAAGACACTTCACCTGGGGACAGATATTCCTGTAGTAACTCTCTGGTGAAAGAGACTGCTGGGGACATGCAGCCAGAATCTTTGCAATCAAGTCACACTTCTTCCAGTCAGCAGCTGTTGCCTCAGCATCACTTCCGCCAGCTGCTCCGGCTGTCACAATGGAGAGAGATGTAAAACATTCACAGCAATTTCCTATGTAAGGTTCTATGTGACAAATCTGCATTAAATTTAGGATAAAGAGTGTTTCTTTTCTCTATTAGAAATTGTTTATTTCTCCCAGAGACTCAGGAGGCTGAGGCAGGAGAATCTCAAGTTGAAAGCCAGCAACTTAGGGAGGCCCTAAGCAACTCAGACCCTGTCTCAAAATAAAAAATAAAAAGGGATTGGGATATGGCTCAGTGTTTAAGTACCCCTGGGTTCAATCCCCAGTAACAAAAAAAAGAAATTGTTTATTTCTTCTGCAAGATAATCTGCCCCTCTGTACTTTTCTTTCTTTCCTTTCTCCTTCTTTCCTTCCCTCTCCCTTTCTTCTTTTTTGGTGGTACTGAGGATTGAACCCAGGGGCACTCTTACCACCACTGAACTACATTCCCGGCCTATTTTATTTTTTCAGACAGGGTCCCACTAAATTGCAGAGGCTGGCCTCCAATTTGCAATCCTCCTGCCTCAGCCTCCTAGGCAGTTAGAATTGCAAGCATGCTCCACTATGCCCAGCTGTACTTTCCTTCTGGAAAAGTCAGAGGAAAAAAAGTCGCATTGAATCATTGTACTAATATTATTCATGTGATGTGAATACTAGCTTCTCAGTGTTTATCTCTGAATATGTATTTCATTTAAACTTACTTAAACTATAGCCATTCTTAAGCAATTATAATACTGGAAAAATATATAAACAGTGGTTTTTAGAAACTGAACAACAGGCAGCCCAGGTCACTGATCACTGAGAGAAGAGAAGCAAACTAGGCAAACCTGATAATTACTCTCACTACTTGGGGA